CAGCTCATGATGCTTGCCTAAATATAAGTCAATGTAAAATAAAGGACCAAAGACAAAAATAATTCACACAGATCAAAGATTACTTCGTGGTCTCTACAACATTGCCCATGCGTTGCGATCGCCATGAGCTGATTCCCAACCCTTTCTTGGCACAGTATAACACTCAGACAGAAAGGTGCCAGCAACAGTAAGTTTATCAGGCACGGGGCTGTTGAGGAGCCAGCTTGATACATTTATGATCCTGTCAAATGCAATTTTTTTTTCTTTTATCCTGATCCATAGTTTTAAAGCTATTTAACCAGTGGCTGATCTTTTTCTGCCAATTCACAGTAAACGTAACTTACATTAGAAATAAAAATTACTGAAACCTTACAACCGTTTTATTATTTTTGTTACAAATATAAATAAATTAACTGATATTAATATTTTTCAAGCTTTCAATTATAACATGAGATAAAGTATGTGTGTGGGTGTGTGGATGTGTATGTATATATATATATATATAAAACAGAAATGTTTACATTAATTCAAACACAATAAAACTATATTAAGAGCATTAGATTACATTTATTTATTTTTCAAAATATCTAACATTCAGACTACTGAGTAAAACTGGATAAGTATTATCTATTTGAACTTTTTACAGGACCATCACAGATATTGCCTATGACCACATATGTCAAATCCAGAAAGGATCTGAATGCATAGTAATGAAATAAGATACCAGCCTTAAGGCAGGCAGTCTTCACTAGTCCTTGAAAAAACTATTTTATCTATACTTATAAAGAGATAAAGATAGAATTTTCGTTGAAAAAAAAGCTGTATATCATAGTTTTAATGTAATTTGTTTTATTTAGTTATGGACAGGCAATCTACATTTTTATATGTTTATAAACACAACATTTTTAAAAACCACATTTTATCAGTAAGGTTTTTGTTTTGATTGCTTTTGTTTACTAGGCCAGTAACTAAAGTATGCATGCATGACTAATGAAATGCTTCTTACAAACAGACCAGGTTTTTAAAGCTGAAATTGCTGGAGTAACCATACCGCATTCGCAGCCAAATATAAATTGTGACTTCTTTAAAAGCAATAAATACTGTTCAAAACTGCACAAACTTTTACAAAAAAATATGTACAACGTTCTGGATGTAAGGAAACCACATTCAATCTTTAATCTTGTATTATTTCTTTTGATATAAAATATAAAAGACACTGTTCACAAGCCATTATGGCATATTAAGAATATGGTTCTGTACTCATATTCTCAACAGCCAGTTCAGTTTCACTGGTAAAATGGCATGTACCAGAAAGTAAAATAAATAACCCGTTTCATGACTTTGGTGCTCCAGGCATAGAGTACAAGATCTACTTTTTTTTTTTTCAAAGTTCAATCGACACTCGATGGGTGATGTGGTCAATATACCATCGGTTGCCCTTACTTCCGAAGACTTTCTAGGTAAGCATTTTTGAAATGTCCACCTTGTTGTGGATTTGAACCAAAGACAGAGTGGCTAGTAAATGAGCTTTTCTCAACAAATAGTCAAATTTAATTCATGATAATGTGTGTATCAAATCTGGTGTCCCAACTCCTTCACACTTATTTTATAATTATATATGCTTAACTGTATGTGACTTACGAAAGGATACACAGGGCCAGACAATAGAGACAATATACTCGTTTAATGATATTATGCTGAAATGGTCAGGGATAAACAAAGCTTACCTCCAGGTGATTAAAACCCTGGACCGCACGCTCAGTATATAGACGAACCCTATTCTACTTACCACACATACCTTCTCTATGCTGAAACTCAAAGAATGGCCACCTGGTTGTAATGTCATCGGAGAGGCGTCTCTTAACTCTTTCACTCCTAGAAGGTTTTAGCAGCTGCCCAATAGGGGCAGTCACAATAACAACATCACACGTGTATGAATTTTACAGGGTTAAAGATACTTGCCTTGTGGGAAAAAAAAAAAACATCTGTACATTGCCAGATTTCTTCAGTATAATGTATCTAAACTTAGCAAACAAAATCAGACATGTCAAACTGGTTAGGGCCAAGAAAGATGAATTGTTTGGGACAACATAGGTTAACCTATAACCTTCAGCATATTTTTCAGGAGCTTTTTAAAAACAACACAGTAACAGAAACCATTTGTGATCCTCAACACTCAGTATTGTCCAGAGGTCTAACTGGCAACACGTATCTACTCCCCAAGTTTATGATAAATATACTTGTATTTACTGTATACTTTTATATTGTCAGTGCAGTTTGGACTGTTCCCTATTCAGCCTAGTCTTCTTAACTTCCAGATGTTGATTCTTCTGCTTCTTCTCTTTCACCCTCAAAAGCCTGTTTGACACAATGCATTTTGATTAACACTTAGGCTGCAATAGCTGTACCCTGAGACCAAGACATCGGAACACATACAATTTTGACAAACTTCTTCTCAGCTGCATTTTTACTACATTTTTTTTTTTCAAGTTGCAGTGCGTCTATTCCCTCCCTCGAAACCACTTCCACTGACTGGACCCAGGAACTCACACTGAACATTTGGTGATTAATGTTGCCTTGCATAAATTGCAGAGTAAACCTCTTATTTTCGTCTTCCTATTTAGAAAAGTTAGTTCTACTGCAACAATTCCTGTTTTAACATCATTACTTAGCGTTTCTTTTAGAGAGATTTTTTTTAAAAATAACACAAGTAGTCTTTTATCGTATTCATATACACACAGCAACACAGCTTTCTTAAAGCTGACGAGTATTGTAAGCAAATACTAAACCATGCAAGCGACTGGTATATTACATTTGTAAGGGAGCCTATATATCACTACGGTGTTAATGTCGTTGTTATGTAACTGTTGCTAAAGTAAAGAATGTAAATTACTAGCCTGGGGTGCATCGGGTATAAGATGTTATAAAGTCAGAGCAGTCTTAACAGCATTATAGGCCCTTTGGCAAACCAGTGTGTGGGGCCCTTACAACAACTATTAAGGCAAGTCCCGTGACATACACATATCAGCACAGGACCTGGATGCTTGATGAGCTTCTGGATAAGTTCCCAGCGGGCTCATGTGTTAAGACTACAATAGCTAGAATCATATTATTATTATTATTATATAACTGGCGATGCTCGTTAGGTAATAAGATCACCTGTTCAAATAGTAAGCCACAAGTATGTGCAACAAGTGCTAAAGTGTGTGCGCCAGCGCACTCTAGTAGACGTTACAGGAAACATTACACATAAAGTACTTTTGCCCATTTCTTACTGCATGAATAAAATAACTGGACTCCTGCCGCACACACCATCTTTCCAAAGACAACCATCCTCTTACAACGTCTTCTGAAAGACTCGCACACATTCAAGACTATTGATATCAGCTAGGTCCCCAGTGTGGATGGAACAGTAGTCCAAATGAGGTTGAGTACCATTATTACAGAATATGCTTTCGGCATAATAGTACAAACAAACAAACTTAATGAAAGATAATCATTGTGTTGCAAGTGTTCGAACTCTACATATCTCTAGGTAGGTGGGCTTAATTAGCTAACATCTGCGACCACCCCCTCCTCCCCCTTTTTTCCATGGGGAAGAAAGGGGAGGGGGGTGGGAGGGCGCTTAGAGCCAGGTATCCCACTCAATTAAATAGTCATGCTGAAGTTAAACCGGTAATTTTTAAAACTTCAGTATAGTTAAAAAAAAAAAAAAAAACAAACATGCATTCTAAACTTGAAGTGTTCACAAAATCAAAATATCAAAAATCAAATGTCACGGACCTCTGAAATTTTTTCTGCGGATTCTGGAGGTCAGCAGAAACTGTCCTAGATTGTTAATTCGTGTACCCAGTCCACTAGTAACATTACAATAAATGCTGCATTCTTCCAAAAGAAAAGTATGTTAACTTATCAACCATAATAGGGCTGTACCTGCTTACCTGGCAAATGTATGTATGTATGTATGTACGCTGTACCCCACCAGGACATCACACAAGCGATAAATACCCGGTGACACAAAGTGCCACCATGCGGACGAGTATCACCCGTGGAGAGGTCACAGAAACTCATTTCAACCGCTAGGCCATATTTACAGCCCGTCTATTTTTCAGGGCCCCCGGCAAAAGCCATGGCGGGGCTTCAAATAACCAAAAATTGCATTCCACATGGGAAAGTGACAAGAATATCGACGATTACCTGACAAATGGAGACCTGTGCAATTACACACAAAGTGAGCACTATGGAAGTTTTGGTGAACTAATTGATTATAAGTAAAAGTCAAGTGTGAAAATATGAATTAAATTGTTTCTTTTCCGGATGTGGGCATTAGCTTCTAGTGCACCTTGAATTCAGAATATACAATACAATTTATGAAATATGTTTTGTAGCCTAAACATTTCTATACTAAAAGTAAAATATGTTAGTTGCATATTCTTTTTGGGACGTTGCAAAACCAACCCCAGCATTTCTCTGTCTTTGGCTGAATTGGTTCACTTGGCAGGCAATTTTATGTTCAGTAAATTCCCATTGCATATAAAAGTGTCGTCTTTTAACGTCATTATTGAAAATCAGCCTGAAGCTAGAATCAACCCGGTATTTTAGAATTACGAAAACGTGTTCGCAACGCTTAAGCCACTGACGTCATCATACTTTAGGTACATTTCAATAACTGCACCCGCGAAATTAGAAGATGTTGTCATTTTTCTGTTTAAAGATAAGAATGATCTTGTAAACTAATGAAGGCTGATTGCACTGAAGGCTGATTGGAAATGCGCAAGTTTTACCATGGGTGGTTAGTGCTGTTGGAGGTCGTTTTCCATTTGTTTTTGTTTTATTTTGTCATTGTTAAACCTGCCTAATAATTGCCATAAAGTTTTGTATATCAATATTATAGTTTTGAGAAAAACAATGACAAATAAATGAACTTTAAACTTGCAAACATGAAAAGTCAGAAAAAAAAAAAAACCCAACACGGGGAAACCGTTGATGCCCTGTAAGTGTTAAACCGGGATAGGCTGCTGGTCTGGAAGCACATCCTTTAAGCGGTTTAACTTTTCTCTGTCTTCTGCTGTCTGATCTGACACGTCAGTTCTATTGATTTCGTCATCCCAAGGCGGCGAATCATCATTCGGATCATATGCATACATACTATTGCCTGACTGTACAGGGACCTGTGAGAAGTGATCGTAGGTTTCCACATCCGGACTACCAGCCATGGTGCTGTTCATTCTCCTAGGATCAGGGCTATCAGCCCCTAACCCGGATGGCTCGTCAAGAGACCGGCTTCTAGCATTGTCTTCAAGAATTGCAATGCTTTTGTTGACAAGCCTACTGTAAACAGGCCCTTCCTCACTCTGATACTTTCGCATTCCTGGTCGTGAGATACCAAGACTGGGTATTAGTCCTATTACCCAATCCTCGCGACATCTCTCCCTTGTTGGGGTATTTCCACCAAGGAATAAACTATTCTCCAGTGTTTCATCTGAAACTCCTAAATCTTCTTCACTAATGTGTAACTGTTTTTCATAAGGAACTTCAATCTCATCTTCTTCATCACTCTCAGAATACATATCTAACGTCACGCCATTCATCTTGGTGGCCACAGGAAATGTATTTGAGTGAGTTAATGGCATGAAAGTATTTTCTGGGTTGTCACAGACAAATCCAAACTTGTCACGTCCAGCGTCCTGGGTGCTGCCCAGCAGCAGGTATTTGTACAGGTCCTTGTCACTTTTAGACTGAAAAGGACGAACTGGTTGATCAAAGTTATCAATAAGAAAATTGTTTTCATGATTAGATAACCGAGCTTGAACAGCAGTATCTTTGCCTTCCTTCGCACAGACATCGTCGTGAAGTTGATGATGTGAGAGTGTTGCCTGCGATAATGAAAGTGGTTGTGGCTCATTTGATGTTGGAGGGGTGTCCAGTGTGTGTGGTAAAGTCTCAGAATCCTGACAATACACATGAGATGGATGAGACAATGAGGAAACTGAATCTGGTAGCACCGAGACAACTGAATTGTTTGTAGCATTATAACTGCTACTGTTCATGCTTCCACATATACTGTTTTTATCAGATTTATCCACACAACTGGTCGCTTCACTTTTATCTTGTAGCACATTCATCTCAATGATCTCAGGAGGCACAGAGGATAGACTTCTTTTACCTGGCTGGAAATCGTCACTTCGGTTGAGTGCAGACGATTTAGAGTCCGCAAGAGTTTCATAATCAGAAGATACAGCCATTTTCTGAAGAGACTCATGTTGGTGTCTGCTTGGATCTACTTTCACGTTAGACTGTCGCTGCTGCTGCTGCTGACCGCTTGTGTTTCCATGAGGCTGATTGGTCGCAGGTAATGAAGAATTATGCAGCAGGATCTGATGCAGCTGCTTCGATGCCAAATTTGGTAAGGTGCTTTCGTTTCCTCTCTCTGACCCCTGTGAATAGATTATCATTGAATGAAGCCATTGTAATGAAGGATGAATCAGATAGTACAGCAATTAGTGTTAGAAGTATGTTCAGAACATTTTAACCAGAACCTTAATAACCCACACTGAACAGCAGTTCACTTTGTAATTATCGGGTACCCTAATGTAACCGTGCTATACTCCCTGATTTGGTTCATATATATACATATTTCCAGAGTTGTTTCTGTTTAGATGAAATAAGACCTGTTCTTCCGTATATCCACTTTTCCAGAGACTCAAAACAATACGATTTTCATTGCTTTCTAAACGATTCGTTTCTCACATACCGTTGTCAGAATCAATACAAAGTGCCCTTCTGCTTCATCACCTGCAGCCGAATCCGTGTACATCGAATTATGACACTGCGTCCATAACTAAAAGATGCAATAGGGCCCAAAATCTGAAGGTAAGATCTGTACCAGAGCTGAGAACACTAACAATGCACGGATTAGACAGGTAAATAATAGCGAGTCATTTATGCTAACCCAACTACAGGACCTGCAAGTAAAGCATGGCAAATCACCTCTATGTCGTCTTTGAGGTTAAGAAAGGATATATTTAAAAAAAACTTTCTGTTGGAAGAGTTGGCAGTGGCTTCTGCATCGGATGACTGAACACGTATAAGAATGTCCTATGTTCAAAGGTTGTTGGTTTGTTAACATCATTCCGTCCTTCAAGAATGATAGTGTTTTATATAGATATTTATATACTGTGAAATGGGAAACATAGCCTATGGAAATGGCGAATACGACTAGCGAGACATGAGATTTTAGAACTATTGTAGCCATCCCATGTATTTAGTGAGCGTTTTCTCAGACGTCCAGCTCAGTGTTGAATGACATCCATAGTAATAACATTTACATCACATTACCCACAGAGTGCTGATGGTCTGTAAAAATATGGGACGCTCTGCCCATATGCCCGATGCGCCGAAAGGCGCGAAAAGGGAACTTTACTTTTTTTTTTTTTTTATCTCAATTAAAAGGAGTAGCCGTGGCGTTTTCGGCTAGACGCCCGCCTGCGGATCGGAAGGTGGTGAGTTCGCGTCCTGACGGAGCCGGGCGTTTAAAAAAAATAATTTGACTTCCAGTCGATCCAGCCTTGAGTGGGTACCAGGTACAGTCCTGGGAAGTAAAGGTTGCCGGCGTGCTGCTGACCACATTACTTACCAAGTGCTGATTGGTTTATAAAAATATAGGTAAATCCCTATATTCAGTACGCCTAAAGGCGTGGAAAAGGGACGTTTTGTAAATTTTTTGGGGGGGACTTTACCTTGATTAACGAAAGACGAGAACAAGATTTACCTTATTTGTCCGGATCTGAGGATTGTTTTTGTCTACAAGTGCACTTGACTGAAGGGATTCCTTATTCTGTGCTTCTCTCCTCTTCCTCCGACGTTCCTCAAATCGTTTACGGCGATTTCTAGTAAATATATATACACACACAAAAACTGTTCACATTCATAGACATGTAGTAAGTACAAAATTAAACTACAGGACCTTGTTCGACGCCTTCAGGCGTATTCGGAATATAGGGCTAGACCTATATTTTACAGACACGTCGGCACTTCGTGAGTGATGTGGTCAACATCACTCCGGCTGCCTTTTCTTCCCAGGACTACACCCGGTACTCACTCACGGCTGGGTCGACCAATGAGCAAAGGTCATTTTTTAAAGAAAGCCCGGTTCCACCAGGGCCCGAACCACAGGCAAACATGTACTAGTGGGAATATAATCAAGCAAATCCTTTGGAAGCGTTGTAGTTATAAATGGGTTATATATAGTCTGCTTTTCAGGGGTTTATGTTTGTGTAATATTATTGGATAGTGTATATTGCATTAGTTTATAAGTTTCTTTTTGGCGTTAGCGGCTCAAGCACGGCCAACAATGTCAAAATACCCAGTTCAATTCCAGCTAAAAGCGGTTTGGCAGCAGCAGGTCGCACTGGGTGCGCATTTTCGATAATGGTATTGAGAGCCGACCATTTTGTGGCAATGATACATTCCTCAAAGTAACACTGCCTAGCGAAACTGCAATGTCCTGCAAAGGATAAACAATTAACTATAATTTTCGTCTTACTTTTTTTCTTCTTTTGTTAGATCTCTTCTTCTTCTTCTTCTTCTTCTTCTTCTTCTTCTTCTTCTTCTTCCTCTTCCTCTTCCTCTTCTTCTCTTCTTCTTCTTCTTCTTCTTCTTCTTCTTCTTCTTCTTCTTCTTCTTCTTCTTCTTCTTCTTTTCTTCTTCTTCTTTTTCTTTTTTCTTTTTTTTTTTTCTTCTTTTTCTTTTTCTTTTTCTTTTTCTTCTTCTTCTTCTTCTTCTTCTTTCTTTCTTCTTCTTCTTCTTCTTCTTCTTCTTCTTTCTTCTTCTTCTTCTTCTTCTTCTTCTTCCTTCTTCTTCTTCTTTCTTCTTCTTCTTTCTTCTTCCTTCTTCTTTTCTTCTTCTTCTTCTTCTTCTTCTTCTTCTTCCTCTTCCTCTTCTTCTTTCTTAGTCTTCTTCTTCTTCTTCTTCTTCTTCTTCTTCTTTCTTCTTCTTCTTCTTCTTTCTTCTTCTTCTTTTTCTTTTTTTCTTGTCTTTTTTCTTTTCTCTTTTTCTTTTTCTTTTTCTTTTTCTTTTTCTTTTTTTTTTCTTCTTTTTTCTTCTTCTTCTTCTTTTCTTCCTTCTTCTTCTTCTTCTTCTTCTTCTTCTTCTTCTCTTCTTCTTCTTCTTCTTCTTCTTCTTCTTCTTCATCTTCTTCTCTTCTTCTTCTTCTTCTTCTTCTTCTTCTTCTTCTTCTTCTTCTTCTTCTTCTTCTTCTTCTCCTTCTTCTTCTTCTTCTTGCTCTATTTTTTTTTTTTTTTTTTGCGTTCGACCTTAAATGGGCGGCTGGTGATTTAATTTGTAGTTACAGCTGGGCTACGATGTCTGCGACTTTCGACATCACTCTCCAATTTCAGCAAACTCCTAATTAGTCGCACTTTACGACATACATGTTAAAACACAGCGCATCTATTATGTGGCCCCCCCCCCCCCCCCAAATTGGGTTCATGCACCTACACAGAATATACAGATTTAGATTTGTTATCACCGTCTTCACAACAACTGTGGGAATAATTTGTGGCCAGGCATCAGTCTCTTCCGCGGTGCGACCCTCGTACCCTTGTCGTCTGGAAACATCTAGGATGGTCCTTTTGTAACCTGTCCACCATAGGAGTTGAACCCTTTTAAACGTTGAGGATTACATTGCGAAACGACTTCACTAAACTCCACGCCACACAGCCAAAAGTAGATTGAAAGTATCAATTGTGATTATAAGTGTACGCTTTATATTAACTGTGAAAATCTTACTGTTCTCAGAAAAGTGACTTAAACAACAAGGAAACAAATAAATAACTTCTTTTTCCATGTTTTGTTTGAAGCGTCTATCAACAAAATGGACCACTACAACAATGCCAGCAGTTTTGTCAGGCATCTAGTAAAGGCACGATTACAAGTAATAAATTAGCACTAAGTCCAACAGGCCCCCTAACAAGGATGTCGCAAATGGAAACTAATTAGCGGTGTTTCCTTCAAATCGGTGTGCATTTTCCTGAGAAACCAACAATCTGCATACCAATTATTAAGCCTGACCTGTAAAATAAAATGGATGTGTAGTTCTGGAACAACACCAAAGTATAAAAGTGGACGAACAGCCAGTGAACGCTTAAAAAGAAAAAGAAGAAGAAGAAGGAGAAAAAGAAGAAGGAAGAAGGAGAAAAAGAAAAGGAGGAAGAATGAAGAAGAAGGAAGAGGAAGAAGAAATTTAATCTCCTTGCTTAAAAGAATGTCTGAAAGTTACAACACAGTTGAATAATTCAGTACACACATGTAGGTGTGTTGGAGCTCTGGTACTGAGTATTTAAGTGTTTGTGTGTGTGTGATGTGTGTTGGCAGTTGAGTACTATGGTGTGCGCTATCTCTCATTAGGAGTACGGTGACTCATGGGTCTTGCCTTCTCAACAGTTGCCCACACGCCATACACGTGGAATGGATCGGTGTAGTCTGGAATCGTTTTTTATCTTATCTGCCACGGCGTTATCGCATATCCAGCCTTCTCTTGCTCGCTCTTGCTGACTTATCTTCTCACCTTAATCCCATAGACCTCTCTCAACCACGATATACCTGTCTCTCTGCCGCCCCCCCCCCCCCCCTAATTCATCAAGTCATGCTGCTGCATGCGCAGAGTCAGCAATTTTTTTTTCCGTGACAAATTCAACCGGATTCAACCACATGCTAAACACAATACACGCAATGACAGGAATGCTCAACGTTGGGGAACCTCAGTGTTACAGTACAAGTCGTCGCCTTGTGGGATGCAATTTTTTGTTATTTTGAAGCCTTACCTCGGCTTGTGCTAGGGGCTCTGAATATAGCCGGGCCTGAAATATGGCCTAACGGCTAAACAGGGTTTCCGGGACCTCTCCACGGGTGATCCTCATCGGCATGGTGGCACTTTGTGTCACCGGGTGTTTATCGCTTGTGTGATGTCTTGGTGGGGTACAACTAACTTACTTACCTTCTACGAGTACCCCCATCCCTTGTGCAATTATCTGTTGCTGTCCTTATATGAAACGCATTTTTTAGTTATTACACCAGGGTAGTTGTCAGGGGCCCTAATATAACCTAACGGTGAAATTAGGCTTCTAGGACTTTTGCTCGGGCGATCCTCATCTGAATAGTGGCACTTTATGTCATCGGAATTTAGGGCGCTCGTTGTAAGGTCATGGTTAGGTTAAGGTTAAGACTAGGATTTTGTTGACAATATTCTTTAAGAAAGGACAAAACAATAAAACTATAAATGTCCCCCATAAATCATGTATTTTAAAGTGAATTTATGTTTTGTCCTTTGAAGGGAAAAAAAAATATATAATGTATTTATTATTCCATCCGTTGATCTTTATATTCACAGTAAGCGTTGTGTTATGGTCTTTGTACCTTCACCCATGTTTTTAGCTACATGCTGCCAAATAACGTGAATTAAATGTATTTTTAAAATGTGCACAGTTCTGAACTCACTTTGCAAGGACGTAAGATGCAATACAAATGACGATAAAGACAAGAAGAGCAATAACAATGCCGATTATGATCAAAGTGCGCTCAAACAGGATAGTTGCTTGATCTGAAATAGCAATATGCATGCAGTTAGTCAACATTCTTAATGTGAAGTTGGTTTTAATCAAACTTTGCAAAATGCACAAGAAAATACATGCTTTATTTCATACTGGTTAAATAGTATCATTCGTGAACAAAATAACATTCCAACAGAACAAGCTTTAAAGAATATAAATCTCTCTCTCTCTCTCTCTCTCTCTCTCTCTCTCTCTCTCTCTCTCTCTCTCTCTCTCTCTCTCTCTCTCTCCTCTAACTCTCTCTCTCTCCTCTCTCTCTCTCTCTCTCTCTCTCTCTCTCCCCCCCCCCCCCCCCCCCCCAATGGATTAAAGTGTTTATCGTCACAATAATTGTTTAAATTGCACTACCCACTTGACTAAGAATTCCAAGAAGCTTTATGAATTGGCTTTAAAAAATGTTTGCATTGCATATGGTATCTAAAATAAGCTGACTGTTTCGTCAGAACGTCTGAAGATTTTACATCACAGTGACCCAACGCGGATGGCGGATGTTATAGAAAATATATGAATCTAGGTACCTCCTTCAACCTCAGAAGAGTGATAATTAGGAAACGTGTAAAGGCAACGCTAAGAACGACTTTGATATATCATAATGTCTTTGGCAAATTCAGCAACGTAGATACGACTATATATATATTCTTAGAATACCTTGGACCAAGAAGAAGTAAACATTGACATCTTACATGATTGGACAATCGAACAGAATTGGCTCATAATCAGTATCCTGTCTCGAAAGCTAGGGTATTTTGGCCATATTAAGTAGTAGTAGTAGACTTTTCCCTCACTAGGACATCACACAAGCGATAAACACCTGATGACACAAAGTGCCACTATGTGTGTGAGGATCGCCCTGGAGAGGTCCCAGAAACCGCGTTCAGTCATTAGACTATATTTATGGTCGGTCTATATTGCGGCGCCTGACAAGAGCCAGTGTAGGGCTTCAAATAACGACAAATTGCGTCTCACAAGGAGATGACTAGATTGGATTAGCCATATTAAGTAGTAGTAGTAGTACTTTTACCCCACCAGGACATCACACAAGCGATAAACACCCGATGACACAAAGTGCCACCATGTGGATGAGGATCATCCGTGGAGGGGTCACATAAGCCGCGTTCAGCCATTAGACCATATTTATAGTCGGGCTATATTGAGGCCCCTGACAAGAGCATGGGTGGGGCTTCAAAATAGAGAAAAATTGCATATTAAAAGGAGATAATAGTATGCAATGCCGCCTTAAGAGAAACTGTGGCCTGGAAAGAACGGCGAAGGAGAGTGGCGTTTACAGAACATGAGACAGGGGCCGTTATTTGCTAAAGTAGATACAAGATATTGGAGACGCACTGGCTATGCAAGTATATAGGGCTGGAGAATTGGCTGAAAAAAGAGAGACTTGTAGACCTGCAGTTAAGAGAGCGACGTTCTGTAACGGACCTCCTGACTGATGAGGATGATGGTACGAATTATCTCAGCAAATTATGACCCTTCAAATGTTACTGAAACAACTTAAATTCTCTGAGTTTCATGAATTGCGGCCCTTTAAATGATATTAAGACAACTCAATCCTCTGTTCATCGATATTCCATTAACCATATTCATATACATGCAAGCCTACTATCATGTGTACATGTGTAGTTAATTAATCAAAAACTTAACAAAGCTCACACTATCATGTGTATACGTGTAATGACTTAATAAAATATTTAACAAAGCTAAGTAAACCAGATACAATATATAGATTATTCAGTCACAAGTCTGTATGGACAAACTCACACACACACCCACATATTGACACATACGCACATGCACAGACGCATAAAAAAAAAAACACACACATACATACAGATACACACACTCACACTAATACAAAGTTATCGAACTTGTCACGTGACTGCCAAATTAGTATGTGAAAACATGGTCTTTGAAAGTATCATTTATAAACAGGTGATAATCTAAATTAGTATCGAAAAAAAATTATGTTACAAAATCTTAAGAACTACATGAAAAAAATATTTAATTAACGCATTTCAAACGTGACAAGCTATACACACACAAACACACACACACACACACACACATATATATATATATATATATATATATATATATATATATATATATATATATATATATACATATTTTTGATACATAATGGCACTACAGGGCATATCATATATATATATATATATAATATATATATATATATATATATATATATATATATATATATACGATGATGATTGCAACAATTAAACGAACTTATGCCAATAGGGCACAACATTTTAATGCTGGTATTTTATAGTGTACTCAGCACTGGACGGGTGTTGTGCCTAACATCCCTTTCTAGAACATTTCCTTGTACCAACTGTAGGTTGAGTCGGCCAAGAACAAGATCCAGTTATTTAAAATACATCTGTCTCGGCGTGGATTAGATCTCAAGAGCTTCGGGTGGACAGGATCAGTTCTAGCCACTGGATAACGCGGTTATTTATTACGTAAGGCAGCAGAAGTGTAAACATCTCCTCAAAAAAAAAAAAAAAAAAAGGTCCATAGACATTATGAATCACCAGTAGATTATTATCTACAAGCTATAAGATACTATAGGCATTACTGCTATACAGGCTAAAACCATACGTCGAAGACATAGTTGAAGATTGTCAAGCGGGTTACCGAAGGAACAGATCAACAATAGAACAGTTATTCATCTAACGTCAAATAGCAGAGCAAAATTAGGAATACGGAAAAGATGTACAAAATGTTTTTGTAGATTTTAAAAAGGCGTATGATAGTGTACATAGAAACAGTTTATGGAATGCTACGAAGGACTTTGGAATACCTAAGAAGTTAATTACCATGACAAACTTGAATGGAAGACACTTGTAACATAGTAATATATAAAGGCAGAAGTCAGACATATTCAAATAACATTTGATTTAAAGCAAGGTGATGCTCTGTCGCCACTTCTTTTCAACCTGGCCCTGGAGAAAATAATAAGGAAATTAAAACAAGAGTGTACTACGGGCAAGAATACTCGGATATGTTGATGACATTGATATCGTTGGCGAAAAGGAACTAGAGACTGTTAAAACATTGACTGTCTTGAAAGAATCAGCTAAGAAAATGGGACTAGTTATCAATCAAGATAAGACAGAATACAAGATAATAATTAGACAGTTAAAGGATATAAACTCCGGCCACATGCAAGTCGATAATATGAAAATATAACGAACGGAAACATATAAGTAATTGGGTGCAAACTTCAACTGCTCCAATATGCTGAGAAAAGAAATACAATCTTGAAAACAATCTGGAAATAGAGTATACAATCGAAGTCCCTTCAAAAACGAAATTCATAATATGTTTAAATCACTGTCATCATGAGAGCTAATAGACTTAGTTGACTGGGGCATATTGAAAGAATGTCAGATGACAGAGAAGTAAAAACTGTATACACGAGGGGGATAAATGGTCGTAGACCACGAGGTAGACCAAGAAAACGATGGAGAGATTACATCCGGACAGACCTGCAAACACTTAGTGTCATCAACTGGAAAGATAAGGACCACTGTAGCCGACGGAATAGAGACACTGAAGGAATGGCGACGCTGAAGGAAACAATGTAAAAGGAAAACAAAAAGACACCAAAGAAACAACGAAGGACCATCGACACTGAAGGAACAACGATGCAAAAGGAAAAACGAAGGACCAACGACACTGAAGGAAGAACAAAGGACCATCGACACTGAAGGAACAACCACACCGAAGGAACAACAATGCTGAAGAAAAAACGACTCCGATGGAAAGATTGCATTTCGAAGGAATACCAACTAAACTCAATACCAGGGTGCTATCAATAGTGCAGGTTTTCACAAATCTAAATCCACGAAGGCAGCAGCGATAGGGTATTGGCTAGATGCTTGCCTGCCAACCAAAGATACTGGGTTCTAATCTGAAACCAGCCGTCTTTCTAAAACTCAGTTAGCTCCTAGCTGGACCCGACCTAATATATGTGTATCAGTGAACGTCCACGGAGTAATGTGGTCGGTGTGATATTCACCACACTACACATCGTGTGTCGATTGCTCTTAAAAATAAAGTCTAGAAACACACATCTGATGTCTCATTGGCATGAAAATCTGTATGTACTGTATTATATCATACATCTAATTAATTTTTAAATTATTTTAAATTTATCTTTATAATCTCGTCTTCTCCTACCCGCCAGTAAATTTAACATTGTCTTTTCATGCCAACTAAAATAGGCCAATTACTGATTGCATATTTGCAGATGAACACAAAGAAGCGACTATACGTTACTGACATCGCCAGGCATTAATAAACACTTTTTTTTCTTAGCCTGAAGTATAAAAACTTTAACTAGACAGCTTCTTTTCTTTGTCTACCGTGGGAACAAAGGCGAAAGAAATAGCGTTTTAAATATGAAGCTATTGTGGATAAAGAATTGTACTAATTTTCTCCAGAGCCAAAGATAATTTTAGCCACACCTGCTTTTGTATTAAGCCTTCAAATATTTGTTTTAAACACCTGGCCTTGTTTTGATTATGTGTACATGTTGAACATTTACGAATAAAATGAAGTCTATTGTGTATGTGTGTGTGTGTGTTTATGTGAATATCTATCCATCCATCCGTCTGTCCGTCCGACGTCCGTCTGTCTGTCCGTCCGTCCGTCCGCTATCAATGCTAGAAAAGCAAACATAACAGTCGTCCTCTAGACAGATACAAACCTAAACTGATTAAAACGTAAGGAGTAGACAGACAGTGTTTTCCTGACATTTAATGAGAAGCAACTGACTCCAGAACTTGGCGACGACAGGCAAGCTCTACAGGAAAACTAGCAAGGAGAAGGCAACAGAGATAAATATCCGGATGTCTTGGCCCAGTGGATTGAGAGAGTTAAAACACTGAACTGATCTGTGATTCGGGTGATCGTGTGAGATGATGAAATATGACGGCCCACGCCTATCAACACAACACATGATGATGACAATGACGAGTCCAAGCCCACGTTCACATAAAAGAAAGAAAAAAAAAACTGGCCCATGTTTTACCTGCTGCTAGCCAGCCGAAGCCGCCAACAGTCTCTGGTTATGTTTGTGGTCTGTTTTATTTGCGCCACTTCCGTTGCTAATGTTCTGATATTAGCGCCAGCTCTCTGGCTAAGTCCCTCTTTTTCTCGGTCAGACCGCTCGATCCTTTCCAATGTCCGATTGTGTTTTTCATGCCTTTCTATTTCTGATTTTTTCCTCTTTGCTCATGTTCCTCCTATTTTGGCCAAGCGTATCTCGTAGAAGAGCGAGCTTTCCACACCCACATAACGTCCTTTGGAGCACTAATCATAGTTTTAAAAATCTGAATATTTTACTTTGCCAACAGATATTGAAAACAGTTTTTGGGTTAGAATAGATCTGAAATTGTGAACATATTTCGCATGTGACTATAGCGGTCATAGAGTTGTCTTCCTGTTAAAATAGCAGGTTAGGCATGACAAAATATTATGTATGTGATGATAGGTGAAGTCTCAAAATGATTCTATCCGTCATTTGAACTAGAATGGTCCCATTGTGTAGGTTTAGGTTGGTTGACAGGTTCTGGTGTACGTAACAATTAGCTCTCCAGAACAAAATGATGACGATGAACTGCAAAGTTTACATGTTAAGTCACAGCGCCGTTTTGTGAGTGGTATTTTGGGGTGGCACATTGTTTTCAAAAGGTCACACTTTTAAAATTACTGTTGCTGCTACTTACTGCTGGTGTCACTATTACTGCCGTTTCTGCTACCAGAATGCTTCTACTACTGAACCTATTTTACCGCTGCTATATACTACTTTTTACCGCCGCTATACAACTACTATTTTACCGCTGTTATACTTTGACTATTTTACCGTTGCTATATTGGTACTGCTACTGCTTTTACCACTAATAACATTACTACTACTACTACTACTACTACTACTACTACTACTACTACTACTACTACTACTACTACTACTACTACTACTACTACTACTACTACTACTACTACTACTACTACTACTACTACTACTACTACTACTATTACTATTACTACTACTACTACTACTACTACTACTACTACTACTACTACTACTACTACTACTACTACTGCTACTACTGCTGCTGCTGCTACTACTGCCACTACTACTACTACTACTACTACTACTAATACTACTACTACTACTACTACTACTACTACTACTACCACCACAACCATTGCCGCTACTGCTACCGCTACTACTCTTATTACTAGCACTACTTTGACTAATGCAACGACTACTTCTACATCAATAATTTGATGATAATAGTACTAATAATAATAACGAATATTATTATTAGGTTAAAAGAAAGATGGGAACAGGAACTAAAATGTAAATCATTCATCAGTTTAAAAATCTATTTCCCTATCTTGAAAACGATAGTGTTAAAAATGTGTCAATTTTAGAACACTGTGTTACCATTCAAAGGGAGACGACCGTGAACATGTGTGCAGACCACAGCCGAATTGAGCCGAACGAGAGGTGCTGTCTGGAGAATGTTCAAAGTTCACCTTCGGTTAGTTATTTGCGGTTACATGCTTTCGTTCAGGTATGCAGACTGACAGATGGGTAGAAGATCTCCCATTACTATGCCTTTAGTGCATCACACGAAGTTCCTTTGTATACCATTTATGTTAGTCGTTCTCTCCTCTCTCTCTTCCCCCCTTTATTTTCTTGTCTAAACAAAAACGCGAGTCCCTCAATCGTCGAAGCTGTTTACTGTTAACCTGTATTCAGGAAAGCCATTAAGTAGGTAGATGAAGCTAGCTTACTTTTTTTTAAAGCTTGTGATGTTTCTTATAACTGATACTAGACATCTGCTATTGGAGCAGAGGAGAAAAGCAATACATGAAAACATTATTAGCTTGATAAACATATCGAAAAGTAGAACTAAAAAGGGTTGGCATAAAAACAGTACTCACTTTGGTAATTCTACAAACGCAAGAACATAATGAGGAGTATGATGATGACGACGACATTAAATAAAAGAAAGAACAATAAGAGCCAGAAGCAATACAAATATTTGGTGCAACGACAGAGGAAGAATGTGGGTGATTTCAGAGGAAGGGAAAAGTAATAAAAGTAAAAAAAAATTTAAAAAAAAAGTAAAGATCACTTTTCACACCTTAGGCGCATCGGGAATAAGGGAAGAGCATCCTATATTTTTACAGACAAGGTGGGTAATGTGATCAGCATAAGACAGGCCGCCTTTACTTTCCCATGACAGCATTTCTTAGGCCTTTTCATAAAAGTGAACCAATTTGTTTCTCTACCATTATGGTATAAATCGTACTATGTCGGCGAAAAACAAAAGTATGAAGGAACGAAAGAATTTTATTTTGTGAATGATCGATAAATTTACGAACGACATTTCAATACAGAGTGATAGATTTACAAACGAATTAAGTATCACTGACAGATCTAAGTTCGAATTTTAAGAAACAAAAAATTACAGATTCACAAACGAACTTTAATCATACACTGATAGATTTACAAAAAAACTGTAAGTATAAATTGACAGATTTAGGGAAAAAAATATGTTAATACTAATTGTCAGACTTAAGTACGAACTTTGCATACATTGACAGCTTTATGAACCTTAAGTACAAACTGACAGAGTGATACATCAATTAGGTTCACCAAAAATACGAGAAAATCCGACTAGGAAAAGCGTGTTGTCATTATTCCAGTTGGTAAACGTATGTAGGAAACAAACACATATTCTTTAACAAATATTTAAAATGTAGTATTTAAAAGGTCTTGACAATGTTTTCACAAACTTATGGCATTTCTTGCATATGAACAAATACAATTTTAAAACATACAGTACAGTAATATATATTCATAAGAGACATCTTTATCTCAAACACACATACACGCCCACTTACTCACACAAGTGATACATTTTCGTAGACCAATCGACACTTTGTGGATGATGATGCCAGAATCACATCAGTCGCTTTTACTTACCAGGGCATTACTTGGTACGTTTTTTAAGGCTGTGTCGACTTGCCTGCCAAAGCCAATTTAATTTATCTCTCTCTCTCTCTCTCACTGTCTCTCTCCCTATTATCTTTGAAGACTAGCATGAATAATGAAGATCATACATATGTAATAAGTGAAATATACATTCAGAAATGAAGTGAATGGTTAAATTTCTGTGCCATGCTTTACTAGGCTGAAATGAAAAGTGCGAGATGATGAATATACGTACGGTGGTAGTCTTCCCTGACGCCGATAGCGTCCAGCAGCTCACATCGACGTCCGGCCCACTGCTCGGGACACCTGCATCGCAAGAGCAAAGTATGATAGGCATTAAAAGTAGATATACAGAGAGCTGGCTGGGTAAAGAAGCTAATAGTTGACTAGCTTTCTACCTGAACAGTAAAGTGGATAAATCATAATTGGATAGAAGTGGCTAGCTATCTACACAGAAGGCTAGCTGGGCAGGTAAAAAATTAATAGTCAGCAGTAGTTCAATGCATTGTTAGAGATGTTAGAAAGACGCCCTAAGACACACATGGTGTTGTTTACTGGACTCAGTCTCTGAAATTATAGTAGGCAGTAACACATGTCATTGACCCTGTAATGTGCAACCAACGGTCATAATACGGTTATTTTTGGCCAATTATGTAAAATTACTGGACTCAGTCTATTCAGACCTTTTTCATGCTAGTGGTGCCATAGGACATATATTGGGAAATTATATATATATATATATATATTTCATATATATATAGACATATATATATATATATATATATATATATATATATATATATATATATATATTTATATACTAGAGTTAACTGCTCGGCTTTATCAGGGATAGTGAACGAAAGTCATATTCTCCCGTCCTCTACCTTATCTTGGGTCTTCACCGCTGCTCCATTTGTGAAGATAGTGAAAATATGGGTCTGAATTAAACCCGGCTATCCTCCAAATAACGGTCCCAAATTATCGAGGCCGAAAATTTACCCTTAGAGGGCCTCAGTCACATGAAAAATGAGAACTTCCGGCGACTACCGCCACTCACGAGCAAATAAAAGGAAGGAAGCTGCAAGAGATGCGGTAGCTGCCTCTCGTGAGTCCCAGCCATCTAGTTTAGCGCCGCTCCACCCCGCGGGGATACTCTCGGCGGTGGCGGTAGTTGCCGGAAGTGCGAAATTTAAGTTGCCGGAAGCTCGCCAGAAACATGTGACTGAAGTCCTGTTAAGGTATATTTTCGGCCTCGATAATCTGGGACCGTTATTCAACGGATAGCCTAAAACCATATATTTATTATCAGGTCTTCTGCTTGACCTTTGTCTCGTCCACTACCGCATCTTTAGTCACAGCCTTTAAGTGCACACGATGCATTCCCTGTAATACTAACACCTCTATTTAATAAATTTAGTGACAGACAACTGTATTTTCTCATGCTAACATAGATGTGATTTTTTATGGCAGATAAAAGCGAAATATATTTTGCTTTTAAAATTGCCCTTTTAAAGGAAGCCAAAGGGAAATAATTACACAGAAAGTTTACTTTACTGATCGACGCAGTAAATAAAGAAATGCACAATAGCATGGGTGGCCAATCTGACTGTTAAATTAAACATTGTAGTCATAATAGCAAAATAAAATTTTTGGAGCTGTGAACACTGCTTTATTTATAATAAACACACGAAATACAGAAAGAGTTTGTGATTTATAGTATATGTTAACACACACACACATGCAGACCTGTAGAATTCAACTTCGCTTATGTCATTAATTAGCGATTACAACTTCAAGTCCTTCTTTTCAGGACGTAATTTTTTGTTATTTGAAGCCCCACTCTGGCTTTTGTCAGGGGCCGCAATATAGGCAGGTCATAAAAATGGCCAAATGTCTGAACGCGGTTTCTGGGACCTCTCCACGGTAATCCTCATCCACATGGTGGCACATTGTGTCATCGGGTGTTTATCGCTTGTGTGATGTCCTGGTGGGGTAGAAAGTCACTCACGCTTATGTCATTTAACTATTACTGCAGTCTTTTTTGGATGAACTTTTTCTTTCTTTGAAGCCCTACTCTGGCTCATGCCAGAGGCCGCAATATAGCCTGGCCATAAAAATGGCCTATTGGCTGAACGCGGTTTCTGGAGCCTCTCCACGGTGATCCTCATCCTTATGGTGGCATATTGTGTCATCGGGTGTTTATCGCTTGTGTGATGTCCTGGTGGGGTAGAAAGTCAGTCAGTCATTTCAGTTACGTTTCCTTGTTAAATCCCAGTCATCTCCTTGTGAGACGCAATTTTTCTGTATTTTGAAGCCCCAACCAGGCTCTTGCCATGGGCCACAATATAACCCGGCATAAATATGGCTGAACGCGGTTTCTGGGACCTCTCCACGGATGATCCGCATCCACATGATGGCATGTTGTGTCATGGGGTGTTTATCGCTTGTTTGATGTCCTAGTGGGGTATAAATCTACCACTACTACCTACGGAGCCACAGGTACTGTAAATACACGGTTCCTGTACAGAAAACATTAGAACAATCATAGTTAGTTATTTAGTTAGTCGACAGATTATCCTCACTGCACATCAAACCGTTTAGTCCAAAAATGCCAAGATCCCTTTAGGAAATTTCGCAGCGTGTAACGGCTGACGACACAAGTCCTGTTTTCGTTTCTTATTCTTCTTTTGCTTCCTGCATAGTGGTCTTGTCTAGCCATACCCCTTAAAACATGCTGTTTTATCAGTGTGGTCACGGTTGCAGATTCGCAATCATCACCTGGTTCTCGCTAACATCTAACTTCAGCATTCAGTATATCTGCCTGGTTCATGGCGCACCCGCCCACCAGGTAGCTTTTTCTTCAAGCCGATCAGTTTGCTCAACCCCGTGTGGGTTCTGGGGCCCTAATATAGGGAAAACAAGAATAGACCCACTGCCTACCCAAAAGCATGTCGTAAGAGTTGACTAATTGGGAGCTTCCTTCAAAGTCAGAGTGCATCTGCCTAAGAGGCAAGGAACCAGCAGTCTACGTACAAATGAGTCAGATCTGTAAAAGGATGCACACGCAACAGTCAGGTTCTGAAACAGGACTGCAGTCCAGAACAACTAGAACTTTCGGCCAAAGTTTACAGCTGGTGAACGCGAAAAAGAAGAAGAAGAAGTTTGCTCATTTCCTTACACGCCTGTGTGTGCTGGCACGAATATGAAACTGAAACTCAGCCCCGACAGCCTCATAGACTGCAACCACTGGCTTAGGGCCCAGTTTATTTCTATTTTCTTGAGCATATTCATTGAGTCACAGAGAAAACATGCGCCGGTAAAAGTTTGCATCCCCAGCCCTGTTTTTGGCCACCGCCATGACTTCCATAGTTAGACTACTTATGGTCAAGCAAAAGCGTCAGAATCTTGCTTCAGATTCTGACTCTAACCTGAGCCGTAAAAGCCCACGAGCTTCTTATGTGGCAAACCACAGACCCACATGTGTAAATGACAGCGTCCTCATCAAGAGAATTCTTGAAAATCAAAGCTGACAATTCAGCTTTTACAGCGGCCGGTCTTTTTGTGTGCAGTGTCTGTCTAGTCGGATGCAAACAGAAAATGTCGTAAAGCACTCGGTTGGCACTTGAACTAGTTCTTCACCAGGTTCTATGTCCTAAAAACAGCACCCCTGATAAATAATGTCCTTGGCCTGATCCGTTCACCAACAATATAATGAATGTAACATGAATGTCTTTACACGTAACCCCACAAGGAGGACTATGCAAACGGGCATGAAGAAGATGGATAGAGAGTGATGTTAAAAAGATGGGAGAGGGAAAAGGGTGAGCAGTATGCGATAGCAAAGGATAGGACGACTTAGCGTGAATTGATTGATGGCCTTTGCTCCACTAAGCGATAAATTGCAGATTAAGCAATAAACTAGAACTGTAAAAAAACTTCGAATGGTGTATGGTGTAAAACCGTTTTTATTTTCTGTTACATTCCCTCAATTAAGAATATGGTATAAATGAAACCAGATGGAATGACGTCGATCCTCTAGTCTTTAAAAGTTACATAATTCTACACTTTGAAAATGATTAAAATTTCAGAGTTTTAAATTCTTAAATTATTTTTGGATCCATTTTATCCTAGCAATGCATTTTTAATGTTCATTTTCAAGGAAATTTTGTAATAAAATTTTAATGCTTTCATTAATTTAAAGACGTCTGGGTTATCGTATTTCTCATAGCTTATATTAAGTGTTATCTGATTATATATTATTTTCAGAAAACATTAAAGTTGTTATTTACTGTGTAAAAATCCGTCTACTGTAGCAGCTATTCGTCAAGTACCACCTTCACATTAAAAGGCTGGCTGCTATGGATCTATAACTCTTGTCTTGGTTGTACATTTTTGAAGACTGCTGGTCCCCTATCTCTTGTTGACATTCTTTTAATCGTATTGCTGTGTGCTTCTTGCTATTTTGTCATCAAAGTGCCCATATAGTGTGTTTAGTATTAGAGTGCTAGGACTTTTGATACCACTAAAATATTTTTGTTTTAACATTTCCTTTAGACTTTCTAATTGCTTGCTCAAGTCTAAGCCACTGATCATACCGAAGGTTTGTGGCGCGGTGATTTCGATCACAGGCATGAGGCAAAGTTAAGTCTGATGTGAGGTGTATAAGGAGTTACTCCGTACGCCACTCGGGCGCCAGTCCTTCACTGTTCTGGTTTTACGGAACCTCATGCAAGACTCCTGTTGCACGTCCCCGTCGTGCGCCACGGATAATGTCTCAAATGAGCATTAACAGAGTTGGCAGGGGATCTCGGAGCTGGCGGCCCCCAGAGGTGTAGTGTCCTTTCTGGCTCTCACCAGCCCGCCCCCAAACGCATGGGTGAAAAGTCTAACAAAACTCAAAATTTGCTTGCTAAATGTACCATCAAATGACAACTCTTGGTTAAAATTACGGGAGGGAATTTAAAACTGTGCTGCTGAGACTCAACCCTGACCGAGAGATTTACCCGCAGCCAAGACGAGTAACATCTCTTGTGGGCGACTTCTCGCAGCAAGATCCTACCTACGTACATCCTCTGTCAATTCTCAGTGTCGTCGTCACCGCGCTGAGGTACACCACGGCAGCAACTTTTCATATGCTGGTTTGGAAATAATATCCGACAAAGTTATACCCCACGGCACACATGCAAGCTCAGAGTCCGACGATCATAATTCGTACCGATTAGGAAAAAGTCCGAATGTCCGTATCCGCTGGTCCAACTCGCCCGAGTGTTAGGACCAAACAGGTGAACCCACCACTGACGCATTTT